TCAAGCAAGATGAGATCAATTACCTCTTTTAAAATAAAGAATCTTTTATCGCCTTAATTTCACCAAACAAAGCCTCCACAACTCATATTCATAACTGTCTAATCGAATCATCCATGTGCGCCAAGAACCCTATTTCGATATGTCACTGCCTAATTGAGATTAAACCACTGTATTTCACGTGACAGGAGATGAATGGTGGACTTAGTTTTTGAACTAAATGAATCGTTTTCCTCCCCACACTCGTACAGTTTAAGGATCTGGTGGGGCGCCAGAACACATCAGGGCTTAACTGAGAGAAGCTGGCAGTGATACAAGCATGAACAACCCAGGCAGTGTTGTAAGGTTGATCATCACGGTGGGCTTTTCTTCTTCACGAGAAGAAATTGTGTGGAAAAAAAGTATTGATGTGACTACTTCAAGGAGCGCTATAAGTCCAAAAAAAGAAAAGAGTCCAGCAGGAGGTATATTCTTCTTAGAGCCATTCATGTTTCCAAGCAGCAGTCAAAATAAATCTTCAGAAATTGATTTTTGCAGGCTTAGGCACACTGTTCTCAGCGAGCAAAAGACACTGGCTGTGAATTGTTGTTATGACCCTTTGACTACAAGGTAAAATCCCATTGAGCAGCTTGCCACAGAGGCTTATATATCCCCTCTCTTCTCATTTTTACTATCCCTTTCACTTTCTTACAGTAGCAATATCTGACAGCGTGATAATGCACAGCATGGGGACACTCATCCTTTTATATGCAGTGAAACAGAGGTGGGTTTTACTAGTCCATGTTTAGTGACATGCATTAACAGCCAGATAAATCACTGTGCTTAATATAAGGCTCTAAAGTGCGCAGCATTATGAAAAGCACAATGCTCTCATCTACTAATCTGGATTTATTCTGTCTCTCTGCCTTGCTCTCTTTCCCTCTCTCCCACACATATGAATGCCAATAAGCCAACATGGACAAATTAAGGCTGCGAATGATTTCAAGCTAACCCACTGTGCAGTGTAACCTCGCAAGATACCAAGGTAGCAGCTCCAAAAACCCGAGCCACTTTGAGCCACTTAATGCCGAAAAGACCAAGTGAATCTTCAATAACGAGTTTAAAATGCCACTGTGGGAACTTCACATTCCTTCTCCGCCACACTAGAGACTAGGGATGCGATTTACAGACTGAGAGAGGGTCAAACTGCGCATTAATAAACTAAACAACAGATAATGGAGTTGGCAAATCGTTAACTCAATTTCACTTAAAAAAGCAGCATCCGTCCGGCAGCGTGAGAGCACCTCAAGCTAGCAGGTAGTTCCTAGAAAGCGTTCAGACAAACCTCACGCCGAATAAAAGCAACATTATCAGCATTTCTGAGCGCCTACCGTGTGTTGTAGTCCGTGTCCAGTCGTTAAAAGTTGTCCTGAAAGCCGCGCTGAGTGGGCTCCTGTCCGCAGCACACCGCGCTGATGCCTCCTCTGCTGCTCGGCGTCTGGAGGGGGAGGAGCCAGCCCCGCGGAGGAGAGGAGCCGACCAATCAGCTCTCGCATAATGAGAAAGAACAACAGCCAATCAGCGCCAGCCGGGAGAGCTGAGGATGCTGCTGCTTTGTTTGACAGTGATTGACTTTGGTAGGAGGGACAAAAAATGACTAAAGTATAAATAAGTAAATGTTGGGAGAAATGCATACAATAATGTATAAATAAATAAATAATAAATAAATGCATCAATAAATATATAATTATTTATACTTTGGGCTTACTTGATTGAAACGACAGAATTAAAGGAAGTTTTACATTTGAATCAATACTCACCTGCCAATATGGACAGATTATTTAAGATTTATTGGCCACTCCTTTACTAAAACTTATAATTGAAGGGGTCAATGTGATTTTGGTCTTTAATTAATGTGCTTCAGGGGTAGAAGCCTTCATCAGTGGGACAAATCAATCAATAAATGATTGATCAATTATTTAAGAAGAAGAGGGGAAGATACATTAATAAAAAATAATTAATAGTTTGAAGTGAGATATCTTTCCTTGTTAAGCTGCAAAGAAGGACTACAACCAGAAAATGTATTGTTTCATATTTATTGTCATTTTATGCCTCTAAAATACATGAAACAAAGACCAGAGGGAATTAGTAATGCCATGCAACAAAGGTCAAATCCGGGACATTGCTGTTCATTAGGATTAGCTGAAACCATCATGGAATGGTATTATCCCTCTATTGCCTACAACTTTCCTGAAATACTATTTGTACTTAATTATAATACAATTGCTTCACAACATGCCTCAGATTTAATAAAACTAGCGAGCACAGAGAGGGAAAACACTGTTTAATGCAACTAAAGGTTTAGGGGCTGTTGACTGGAACTGTTTAAAATCCTGCTTCATGTCTGTGTGGGTTCTCACTTGTACTTAAGTTAAACAAAAAGGAGGAAATCTGTTTGTTCTTCATTATGTCTCCATAATGACAGAAAATAAATAGTAATTCTAGTTTGAAAACTATGTGTCACCAGAGTATGCTGACAGATTCTCATGTGTTGCACTAATAGTCATCAATGCAGTCTCTGGCTTACAGCACAGACAAAGAGCAGGCTACAGAGGTTTGGTGAGCTTTTACACTTTTACATTAAAGTTTCAGTCCTGGATGCATTTATTAAATTTTAGGGCATGTAAAATCTGTTTTCAGACAGAAAAAATGTGAACTTGCCCTTTAATGCTCTATCAAACATTAGGTCCTGAACTTTCAGAGTCAAAAACCCATGTAAACTTCTAAAGAAATCTGCATTCAAACAGCAAAAATGAGCTCTGTTTAAGTATCTTCACAATGTTCATACACGTGCAGCATTATTATTATTTGCTGTGTATCCTTTCCACTTGGACGGGTAGTTGTTTGGGTTTATAATTGCTTGGCAGGGGGATGAAAGAGTTGTACAAAATGTTGAGAATTACACCTTCTCTGTTTTGTCAATGAGAAGTTACAGGAGAAAGGATGGCCTAATTAAAAAAGATGCCAAACAGCATTTCAGGAACAGATGCTGAATTATTGAACCAGGAAGTGTCAGCAGAAAGGGGCATGATGACCCACACTGAATATGTAGAGCCATCACTTTTCTGACAATAACATACATTTTTCTCTGCTGGTGTAATTAACATTGCAGTATATTCTCTCTGCAGCCAATTACCCCACGACTTCACGCTGTAAGTGAGAAGAGGGGGGAAAAAATCTGTCAGAGGTGACAAAAGCCACCTAATGGAAAAATCTGTAACTCCTACAGCCGGCCTGCTCTATCAGTGAAAATCAATACGCCTTTCGCCAAAGAGATCTCAGCTGGACTATGTTATCCAGGTGGGCCATAGATCAAACTAGCCAGTCACGCCAATGAGATACAGCTTAGTTCCATTACAGCTCCAGTGTGCCTGAGCCCTAACTGATTAAAAATTCATATATTGTCAAGTTCATGAAGCTTTATTTCAAACAGAAGACTTCATAGAAATGCATAAAACGACTTTATTCGGACACAAAAGAGAGCAGGCAGGCATTCAACTAAAGAAAAACATAGCAAAAATGGAAAAATACAGCCCAAAAGTATAGATATGTGAGAAAAAATATGCACTTTCTTTTTCTCTGCACGCCAGGTGCATTCAATCAGCATCAAACAAAGCTAGATATTGAATAAAAGAGAAGAAGTATATCTTTAAAACTCAGTACAAAAACACCAGTAAAATCAGAGCAGTTCATCTCTCCATGGACATTAATGTGAAATTATTATGAGCTGAACGGGCTGAATTCAAGAGTCGTCACTTTCATCGTCATCATAGTATCTGTTCCTCTTGATCTGCTCCTCCACTGTCAAAGCCTCGTCATCGTCTTCCTCTGCCCACAGAGAACGAGTGCCATCCCCGCCTGCGCTGTGGCTTGTTTCCATCACATCCTTCTCCGTGCTCCCTCTTGCCTCCATCCCGAAATCCAAAAGGTCATCCAGCGCTGACACAGTCGGCGTTGTCGTCTCGGTGACAGATCGGCCGAAGATGTCGGATTTAAAATCAGATAGCAGGCCGGAGCTGCTGCTGCTGGTGCTCAGGCCGGCGAAGATGTCCTCGAGGAAGCTTGACGTGCTAATCTTCTGCTCGGCGGCCTCGGCTTGGAAGGCGAGCGCTCCCCCGGCTGTCTCTGTGAAGAAATTCATGTCTGGAAAGAATGAGTCTGTGGCTTCAACACATTTGGCACCCGCTGGCACGAAGGCGTCGTCCCTCTGTGCCAGTTGCAGCACTTCGTTTGGCATCCATTTTGATTCTTCACAGAGATCGGCGTTGAAGAAATCGGTTGCGCCTGCCGCATCCGTCAAAAAGAGTGACTGATGTTTCTCTTCATCATCCTCCGTAAGCCCTTCAAACAGGATTTCACGGTCAAGCAGTATCTGGCTATTACTGTTATTATTGTTAGAGTTAGCATTCAGCGCCTGTCCTGCTGTCGCCTCCTCATCTATTAGCGTGACCTTTACCGCCTCTCCATTCTTCATGCCATCATTATTTCCTTTATCTCTCTCCTCCTGGCTTGCCTTCTCATCTGCGGCACTTTCTATCCGCCCATCGTGTCCATTTACTTTCACTTCCTCAACCCTTTCTTGCATACCTTCCGCCTCTTCGCTTTGGTCTTTCTCGTCCACATCAGGCTGCACTTCAGATTCCATTTCAGCACCCACTTGTGCCACAGCCTCACAGCTGCTGTTTGACTCTCCACTTTCTTGAGTGTGAGAAACATTCACCGGTTCCTCAGCGGTTGGAGCTTCCGACTCGGCTGGAGTCTCTTCAGGCCTTTTCTCATTCTCCTTTAAATTGTTACCCTCCTGCTCTGTGGAATCTTCCTGAGGTCCATTTTGCACTCCAGCCGCGGGGATATTAGTCTCTTTTAATGAGGGCTTCGTCTGTTGATTTAGAGATTCTTTTTCCTGAGCTGAGCCCTCCTTAGGGGGCCATGACGGCTTAACCAACTTCAGCTCCTCCTCTACACTGAAGGATTTCTTTGGAGAGTCTGGTTGAGGAGGCCAAACGACAGAAATCTTACTCATTGGCTTTTTGCTTTCATCATTTATTTCATCATTCGGTGTAACTGTTGCGCTCTGAGCAGCGGGATATCTGGAATCCGTGATTTTCTTCTCAGGTGACGGTGATTTGACTCTTTTTTCAGATGAATTCTCCTGGTTCTTATTACTCCAAAGTTCTTTGTGTGGTTTCTGTCCAAATCCTTCATCATAATTTCCTTTGGACTTGAACAGTTGCTTGTAGTGTGGCTTGCAGTACATTCGTCCATGGAGAGAGGCGTAGTTGCCGAGGCTGTTTAAATGAGAAGGAGAATAAAGAGGTTAAAGAAGTTCAGAAGGAAACTAAAAGAATGTTGTTGCTTGGTGATATTAAGTCACCTTAGTTTGCCTCTGCAGTGTTCACAGCGAAAGCAGCTTTTATGGAAGTTTTGATTGTCTGCTATCAGCAATTCCATGGGGTACACCCTCTTCCGACACACCCTGCACAGTTCGGACTCGGGAACTCGAATTCTCTGCAAAAAAAGGAAGAGGACACTTTAATCTACAGGTTAACAATTTACATTTTCTTTGCGACTAAAATCACACAAAAAATCACTGTGCATTTTTTGTACAAGTCATGTTAAAAATGATGGTTGTTTAGTTAGTACAGTTTCAATTCATTATTCCAATGAGTCACTAGAATAACCTGGGGGAGTGTTCCTGATCTTTTTTGGCTTGTGACCTCTACAAATGAGAGATATCGTCCTGGTCACACTTTCACTAGTGATTTTCTGAATGTGGAAATAAAAACGAGTAAACGAGAATATGGAGGGTCGAGTATTTCACCACAAAAAAAAGGAATTGTAAACAAAGTCAGATGATTTTTGGCTTTTCCAATCATTTTAACGATCTGCAAAGACCCTTAGATTTCTCCTGGGACCACTAAAGGTTTCACAATCGGTGAAGAGAGCCATCTTTCTGTTTTTATCTCATGGTATGGTAACCTTTCAGAGGACGACAAAAATCCTCTTTCCAGTATTAAAACAGCCAGTGAAATCATCGACACACTGCAGCTTTCCTCGTCAGATATCTGAAACAGACAAAAGTCGATCTTGTCCAGCTCTGATTTTCCTCTCTTGGAGGAATTTGTTCTTCTCCCCTCTGGTCGGAGGTAGAGGCTGCCCTGGGCTAAAACCAACAGATACAGATGTCCTAGAAACTGAGAAAGGGTCCCCCCTGTGCTGCATGAATTAATCTTGAAAAAAAAAGGTCAGCTTAAATATGCAAAGAGAAAACTTCCTTTTACTTTTTAATAAGTTTAAATTATTTATTTTTTTAAATAATTACTGACTACTGAATAATTAGAACTTTGGCTAAAACTGAGAATTTCTATTTTTTACATCTGTAATTACAATCAAACTAAAGAGCTCTTTTCAGGGAAACTTTCTCTGAAATAAAAAAAACATTTATATTAAAATATACTAATGGAGTACTTTGGGAAAATATGAATAAGTTGTATAGTTTTTCCATCGCTTGAGACATTTGTGAGCAGTTTTCTACTGTGAAAAATGCATCACACACCTAGGCCAGAGAAAGATTTGTTCAATATGTTCGCATCATTGCCAGCTTCACACATCAGAGGCATGAATAAACAGGACAAATTGTAACCTGTGATTATTTAAATGTGTGAAACGACAAACTGTTCCACGTTTTAATGTGAGTGTTTCAGAGAGAGGAAAAACACATCAAAGCAAACGTGTCATATTAATAACAGAGTCCAACCAATATTAATACTCCACACAGAGCATGTTAAACACACCGTCAAGCCTGTTTAGTATCTTCATGCTGCACAGCAGGGTTTACCCGTCACGACAGTCTCCTGCTGGTGCCTTGTGATCTGTGAAGTCCTCTGCTCTGTGACACTGAAACCGAGGTTCTGAAACACTCCTTGACTCTCGGCCCACGACTGCTGGAAGCTTCGCAGCAGTTCCTCGGTTGAGGCATCGGCGGGCACGGTCAATGTAGGAACTGCGCCTCTCACCACGTCGGCGTATGACGGAGGGCTACCGCGGATCAGGGAGCTCCCAGAATGCACCTCGCTCCTCGTCTCTCTTGTCATGTTGCCAAAGTCGTCAATGCTGCAGAATTGCTCGGTGACTGCGGTGGTTTCAGAGTGTCCGAGGGGCTCAGAGGTTGATTCAGATTCTCTTCTTTCTATTTGTTCTCGCAGCTCTCTGGCGGCCTGGGAACTGTGTTCTCCGGTCTCAAACACGTCCTTAATGGCTTTCACATTTAATGTCGGGATCTCTTCTGTTCTTGGGGTATGCGGTTCAGCCTCTGCGTCTTCGTTGTCACTTTCAAGCCTCTCAGCAATAACAATGGGCTCTTTTTTTGGGTAGACTTTCGGTTGTGGGGATTCGAATCTGTTTACAAGTTTGGACAAGTCAACTCTGGGTAGATCCTCCTTTAAAAGGTCGATAGTGACAGTCTCAGGTCCTTCCTCGGCATCAGCACCCAAACGTTCAGGGATATCAATGGGATCCTTCCGAAAGTACGCCCTGTTCACCTCAGCCTTCTGCGCCTCCTCAAAGAAAGACTTCTTGTCTCTGACGGTCATCATGGAGTCCACCATTTCTGACACATCCACCAATCCCTGCTCGTGTCTTTCCTCAGGAGTCCCCCGATCACTAAAGGGGGATGACTGCTCTCTTTCAACAGCAAAGAACTCCGTCACTGGCATGGGAGGTGGAGGGGTCATGCTGTGGGAAAGTTTTGAGGTGGTGTCTCGCAGTTTCATGAGTTTCTCCGAGCGGCTCAGGGTGGGGGACGGGGTGGCCCGGCTGAAGGCGGATGTTGGTGTGAATAACTTGCGAGGAGGAGGTGGAGGTGTCCCGACTGATTTGTAGGGTGGCGGAGAAGGGGTTACTCTAAGCGGTGAATCTACTCTTCTTGATTCAATGCTGATAAAAGAGGGTGACGGAGAGGACACTCTCTGATCAGCCACCTCACTCAAGTCCTGTTGCAATTTGCTTTCTTGAAGCGTCTTCTTTTTTTCTCCTCCACAACTTTCTTTGCAGTTTTGGACGAGCCGATGCTTATCTTCGATATCTTTGCAGTTGCTCCGCTGATGACGTTCTTCTCCGGCTTTGGAGGCACCGGCGGTGGCGCAGGTACGGCTGCAGGAGCAGGCACTTCTTCTTTTTGCTGTTCTTGCTTTTCCACGGCTGTCAAATTGACTTCCAAATATGTGAGCTTTGCCTGAACAATATTCCTCACGTAGACCATCATCTCTTTCAACTTTTTCTTACTCTGCTGTTTAGCGATTAGACCCAAATTCTTTTTCTCATCCGAGCCCGTCATCCAGTCAGGGAGTTCATTTATAATGGCTCCGACAGCGTTGGAGTCTATTTTGCTTGGCGTGCCCTCGAGCTCTTTTATTTGAGCGAGCAGCTTCTGCATTACATTACATTTCACTGAATCTGTGATCTCTTCTGAATTTGCCTTATCTTTTTGGCCCATTTTTCCTGTCCTTTTCACTGATACATCCTTCAGCTCGCCTTTAGTCTTTACTGCCTTTACCTGCATTTTATTTGTTTCTGCTGCTTGTGCCTTCATTTGCTGCTTTTGCATTTGTACAACCTCTTGCTTCTGAAGGCTCTGCTGTACCACATTCTCAGTCACAACCACCTCCTCGTGTCTTTGAATGTGCTCCGCCTTCACGCTCTGCTGGCTGTGGGAGACAGATACATGGCCTTGTCCTTGATGGGTTGCTGCAGATGTTATCTTTGCCACCTTAGGCATTAAAACAGTAACTGATGGTGACAGCTTTACTTCAGTCTCATTCTTTTGCACCTGTTTCCCTTTTTTCATTGTAACCTCTACTTCAACTTCCTTTATAGGCAGTGTCATTTGGCTTTTTCTCTCCTGTGCTTTGATTTCTGTTTTTATCTCTGACGTCACCTGATTGCTTTCCTTCCCTTTGCTTTCACTTGTCTTCGACACATTGCTTTTCTCTTGCTGTAAATGCGCGTCACTTTTCATTACTTCCTTTTGTCCAACATTGTCACACCGCTCCTCTTTCTTCTCGGTTGGCATCTTAAACGTTTTCACCTTGAAACTTGGAGTTACTTTTGGAATTTTAGTGGGCATAGAGGGACTCATTTTTCCCTCCTGTGTCAGAGGCACATTAATATTCTTTACATCTTCAGCTTTCAATGTGACCGCAGCCTGGCTTTGAAGATTTACACTTTCCTGGACAGCACTCAGTGTGGTTGTGATAGACCTGCTGCTGGATTTCTTAATAACCTGCTGCTGCTCCGTGACTGACGATGACGAAGTGACAGTATTGGAGCTCAACTTGATGTCAATATTTGCGGCCTCTTGATGAGCCTTAGACACGGAAAAGGTCTGACTCTTTGGTGGGGTGTGACTCTTTTTGAAGGCATCCGCTGAGGCGAGATTTCTTTCTGAGGACATTTCACTTGCAACATGCTTCATATCAAGGGAAACATTCGAAGATTTAGAGGAAGATTTCTTATTTATTCCTGAAATGGAAGGCTTGCTCAAAGGAATCTGGGAAGGTGTTTTCTTGGCAGGAGAGTCTTGTGTCAATATTACCTCTTTGGATGCAGTCTTAGTCTCTTCTCTTTTCACTTCTGTCACCTCTGTGGTGACTTCTTTATCAGTTTTCTGGACTTCTGAAAGCTCTGTACTGGCAGCAGAGGAAGGTCGTGTAGAAGTAGGACTTGTGACTCTACTCCTTTCTATTTCCTCTTTCTCCTCCAATTGTTGGCGAAACCGCTCTTCTGCAAGCATCAGAGGGGTTTTAAACTTGCGAGCATAAGGTCTAGACTTTGGCACTGGAGTGGGTTCGGGTGTCGGAGGCAGTTTAATAGGAGGGGCAAACACTTTTTTAGGTGGTTGTGGGCTTTCCTTTTGCATTGGTTTCACAGCTGGGATGCTAGGTATTTTTGTTCTTGACACTGTTGTCGATTCAGACTGAACCTGCTTGCTTGTTTCGATCTGTTGTGATGTTTCCCTTTTTACTTCCTGAACTTTTGCTTCTTCTTTAAGCTCTGCTGATACTGTTGTTGTTTCTTGACTGGCAGTAAGCTGAGCTGGCGTTGGAGGAGGTGGAGGAGTTGGCTCCTTTTTCTGCCATTTGGGTTTGACTTTTATAGGCTGCTTTGGCGCCTCAGGTTGCTTGGGAATCTTGAATAGAGGCTTGCCAATGGGTTTCACCAGCTTTGCAGGGGGAGGCTGAGGCATGGAGTTTAGCTCATGTTGTGAGGGAGGCGCAGGGAGGAAATCGTGTCCGCTCGCAGAGGTTAGACTTGGTGGAGGTGGAGGAGGAGGAAAGAATTCTGGCTCAGACTTGATGCATTCCATAGGAGGAGGTGGAGGTGGAGGTGGAGGTGGAGGTGGAAGGTCGCTGTCCTGCCTCATAATCGGAGGCCTGGATGTTGGAGATGCTGGGCTCTCCAGCACTGGCGGTGGTGGCGGAGGGAGGGAGAGCTCTGACTCTGAGGGTGGAGGTGGAGGTGGTGAGGAAGGGGGAGGAGGGAAGTGAATCTCTGGCTTTGCCTTTTTGATCAAGCCTTTCCCTTTGACATCAAGGCTCCGGTAATCACTCTTCACATTTTTCATATTCTGCTTTTGTGTGAGTGCCTTGTCCTCCATTTGCTTCAAAGATGTCGACATTTGCTCCAATACCGTCACATTTTGCTTCTGCATGACAGTTTTCTCCGTCACTGCTGTCTGCACCTGTTTGATTGTCTTTGTTTCACATATTTGCTTGTTTGAAATATTTGTGTGTGCTGTGTTTTGCACCTCTTTCATCACATTCACGTCAGCCGATTTGGTCTCTGTTTGATCATTATTAGCCATTTGTTTATTCTTTATCATAACAGGCTTAGGGGTTTGTATTTTCTGAAGGGGCAGCACTTTCTGCTTCTGTTCTTTTATGCTCTTCTGCTGAGAGGCCCCAGTGGCATTATCTGTTTTGGCTACAGTAACAGAGTGGTCCTCTTGGGTTATTACCTGTGTTTTTACTGATTTGCTTTCGTGGTGCCTCTGTGCATGCTTCTGTGACTCACTGCTCCTGGAGAGGTTTTTCACTGCGGGAGCCGGATTGACTGCTACACTCTCACTCTTAGCCTCATGCAGGCATTCATGCTCTGCCTGCTTTACAGTTAATGGATTTTTCACTGGCACTTTTGCTTTCTTTGATGGATACATACGCTTAGTATTTGAATACTGTTTACGCTGCATCAGACACTTTATTGTCCCTTGAACATCCCCTTTCAGTACCTCCTCTTTTTCCACTTGTGTTGAGTCCTGTCCTTCATAGAGACTTTGTATGGATGTTTTCACATCTCCTTCAATGCTTCCCCTGCGCTGCAATTTTGGAGAAGTCGTTGGCTCAAGCAAGAGCTGGATAGTTGCTTTAATGTCGCCCTGTTCGCTGACTTGATGCTGGTAAATCTTCTTCTCGCTTGTCGCTTCATGCAAACTTTGCAGGGCAGTATGGATGTCTCCTTTGATGATCTCCTCTTTTTCAACTTCTTTCACAGCTTGCTTCGCCTCCTCCAGGGACTTCAGTGTCCCTTTGATATCACCTGGTACTAAATCTTCAACAGTCACTTCTGTATTGGTAGTTGCAGACTTTTCAAGTGATTCCAGAGCACCCCTAATGTCTCCCCTTACAATTTCTGGCTTTTCCATTTCTTTGGCTTGATGCTGGGCCTCCTGCAGAGACCTCAAAGTGGTGGGTATGTCTCCCTTCACCACCTCCTCTTTCTCTATTACAACCCTCTGATTCATGGCTTGGGTCAGTGAATCAAGAGCTGCATTAAGGTCACCTTTGACAATGTCCTTTTTCTCAAGGTTTTTGTAGGTAACAGTCGGCTCTGTCATAAAGACTTCCACAGTATGATGTACATCACCAGGAACTATATCATCCTCAGCCACGGTGCGACCAATCTGCTGCTTCTTTCGCAGCATTATTTTGGTCTCTTCAATATCACCTCCAATGATACGCTCTCTTTCCACCCTTTCCTGGGTTTCATCCGGTTCATACTGGAGCTGCTTCAGGTAATCGAGGGCTCCAGACTCGATGCATGTGGAGTAAAAGCTGACGTTGCCCCTTTCTGCGTCTTTCACCCTTATTTTTTTAGATTCCTCTTCTCCGGAGTTTGAGAGAAGACGATGAAGCGTTTTGCTTACGGTACCCTGAATTACATCTTCTTTTTCCAAACTAGCCCTCTCCCCCTTATTCAACAGAGAGTAGATAGTCAGTCTGACGTCACCTTTCTCATCTTCTTGAATGAGAATGCCACGCTTGGAGGAGCCCTCATTCTTGAGCAGATTGTTTATGGCTTCTTGAATGTCACCACGGACAATTTGCTCTTTTTCAACATTTATTCCCCTTTCCTGGTTTAATAGCTGATTCACTGTTGTGTTGATGTGTCCCCTCTCCCCTCATCAATAGTTATCCCCCTTTCAGTGGTCTCTCTGCGGTTTAGGAGGTTCATCATTATGTTGCTCAGATCCCCTCTGATGATCTCTTCTTTTTGGATTTCTGGAGCCTCCTGGTTCATGAGTTGGAATTTGGCCATGCGGACATCGCCAATCTCATCTGCTTCAATTAGAATCCCTTGCGAGTCCACCATTTTACGACAATAAAGCTCCTCCAGTGTCTCTTTGATGCTTTTTCCGATGATTTCTTTCATTTCTGTTCTGCTTTCGTTGAATTCATGGAATGGAGTTGTTTCAAATAGCCATGTTGTTGACTTTACATCGGCCTGTGGGATTTCCTCCTTTGTGACAACGAGCTCTGTGCCATCCATCTCTTTGATACTGTCGAGTGGCTGCTTCTCAAAGAGCCACACAGACTGTTTGACATCCCCTTTCATTACTTCCTCTTTTGTCACTCTCTCCATGCTGTCATATTCAGCGCCCTCGCCGCGGATCTCATCAATTGTGCGCGTTTCAAACATCCATGTGGCAGATCTTACGTCGCCTTTTTGGATTTCACTCACACTCACAGTTCTGATGTACTTTTGAGACATTTGATCTGTCTCAAACCACTGCTTGTTTGTTTTCACATCGCCGCCCTGGATATCGCCAACTGTTTTTGACCTCACTTTTCTTTCCTCAGTTATTTCATCAAGAGGTTGTGTTTCAAACCTCCACCTTGCAGAGTTAACGTCTCCTTTATTGACCCCTCCTCAGTCACAGCTTTAATAACATAGACCTCCTCTGAATCCCTAATTGAATCCAGAGGCTTCGTCTCGAACAGCCATCGGGCCCCCACCACATCTCCACTTACTATTTCTTCCTTAGTAACTGTAGTTACTTCATGGTAATGTCCTTCTTTGTCTCGGATAGCATACAGGGGTTGAGTTTCAAACATCATGGTGTAGTTTTTCACATCCCCCCTCTCTATTTGATCCCTAAAGATGCTAGTAAGCTTAGAAATATCAGTCTCATTGGACTCTTCTTTAATTTTATCCAGAGAGTAGGTCTCAAAAATGAAGCGACCTTTGTTGACGTCGCCCCCCTGAACATCACTCACAGTGAGTTTCTCCCTAGCCTCGTCACGGATCTCATCAATCGACTGATTCTCAAACATCCAAGTACAGTTGACCACGTTTCCCTTCTGGATGTCCTCGGTCTGCTGTGTCTTCAACCTCTGCATCATTTCATCAGAGGTGGAGCTCATAATGTCCGAGGAGCGATTCTCAAAGATGTACTTCATCCTGGAAACATCGCCAGATTGGACGTCGATTTCCGTAACCCTCCTGAAAGAACTGCTGTCCTCACCTGTCAGATTTTCGAGGTTCTCCGTTTCAAACAGGAAGCGGGCCAGTCGTACGTCTTTTCCGTGGATGTCCTCCTGATTTACAGTGCATGTTTTCAGAATGGTCTCAGACTCCGACTCTGTATGATCATGTATGTTGTCGAGGGTTTGGGTTTCAAAGAGCCAAGTGCATGTTTTGACGTCACCTTTTTGCACTTCCTCAACGTTGGCCTCGCTCTTTTCTTCCTTTTCATACAGAACATCCATTGGTTGAGTCTCAAACAACCACTTACAGGTCTTAACGTCGCCTTTTTCAATTTCTTCTTTAGTTTTATGTTCTTCATCTTCATCATTACTGAATGCTTTAATAGCATCAAGCTGCTGAGTTTCAAACAACCACTTGGCTGTTTTGACATCCCCTGACTCAATTTCCTGTTTTGATATACCCTTGATGATCTGAAACTTATTGATGCTTTCGTCAAACTCATCAATAGGACGCGTTTCAAACATCCATCTGCAGCTGCGCACGTCTCCCTTCACAATCTCCTCGCGCCTTACAGTCTTCACCTCATGGTAATGACCTGAGCTGTCCTGCATAGCGTACATAGGAGTGGACTCAAAAAGAACTCTGTTGGATTTGACGGATCCACTTGTGACACCTTCAACTTGAATTTTCTGTGTTCCTTCACACTTACTTAAATCCATACATTCAAACCTTTCTTTATAGTTTGTCACATCTCCTTTGTCGAGAGCTTCAACGTTCACAGTTTTTGTGATCTCCTTTTTTCTTCCCTTATATTCTCAAGTGGCTGGCTTTCAAAGACCCACTTTTGATGCCTCACATCACCCTTTTCTTCTTCGGTTGCAACTGTTTTCTTAAGTTTTCCCACCTCCAGCAGTTCTTTCAGACTTTCCATTGGTACTGTTTCAAACAAATGTTTAGCCGTTTGAACATCGCCTCCTACAATCTCCTCTGAAGGTAACAATCTTGCATTGGTGTTGTCCTTCAAAGTGTCCATTGGCTGAGTCTCAAATACAAGACAATGCCTTCTCACATCAGCACCAATAACTTCTTCTTTTTGCTTCCTGGAACTCTCCCATTCCTCATCCTTAATGGAGTCAAGGGTCTTTGTCTCGAAAAGCCACCTACCTTTATTCACACCGCATTGAACATTGTCCTCCATGGAAATTCCACAAATGAGTTTCATCTTCGCAGGGTCTTTGTTTATCATGTCCAGAGGTTGTGTTTCAAACATCCAGCGCGACGTTTTGACGTCTCCTTTTTCCATCTCCTCCTTGCGGATAGTGGTGATCTCCAGCATTTCTCCTGAATCCCCCCTAATGACACACATGGGCTGCGTCTCAAACTTGCGAGTTGTTGTCTTCACTTCCCCTTTAATCTCTTCCAGCTCGGACTTCAGGTTCAAGAAGTGGCTTTCTTCAATGGTTTCTGTTTTACCCAGGGAATCCAAATGCTGGGTCTCAAAGAGATACCTGGCTGTTTTCACATCGCCGCCTGTGATGTCTTTGGAGACAACAACCTCCATCTCCTGCTCGTCTTCTTGGTAGATCTTATTCAGATAATCGAGCGGCTGCGTCTCAAAAAGCCAAGTAGCAGTGCGAACATCTCCTCTCGCCAGATCCGTAGATTTTTCTGACTGCTCAGTTGAATCAGTTGCCTCAGTACCAAGAGCATCCATTGGTTGAGTCTCAAACATCCAAGCTGTGTATCTGACATCTTTTCCAGCAATGATTTCCTGTTGGGCGATATTCCTCTCCTCATTCTCATCTGGAGTTTCATCTTTGATTGTATCCAGTGGCTTGTTCTCAAACATCCAGCGCATGGACTGCACTTCACCTTTAAGAATCTCATCCCATTCCACAGACTCTCTGTCAGGGCTTGAACCAGGACTTGAGGCGTTGCCTTCATTTTCAAACATATAGCAAGCCTGCTGAACATCTCCAACCATTTCCACATTTTCCAAATCCTTCTTTTCAGCTTCAGTGAGATGACTCAAGAAGTCTGCTTCTATGTTCTTGCGGACTTCAGGGTGAATGTGCTTGTAAAGGCGCTTTAGTTCGGCCATGCTCTTGTGTTTGAAATACTGCTCCTTGTTGACAGTGTGCTTTTGTTGGAAGGTCTGGTCTTGATGCTGGGAGGACATTTCCTGCAACAGGTTTGGTGGTGGGGGTGGGAAATTCTCTGTTATCTCATAAGCTGCTGAGGAGGCAGACGCTGCTGATGAGGCAGCAGCTGTCTTTATGGTGGAGGAGCTGTCATAGCAAGTCGTGGCTGACATTTTAGAGGACTGATTTACTGGTGCCCATTGAAACTGGTTGAAATCCACATCAACCTGCAGTTTGTTAAGTGTTTTTGGTTATGGAAAGAAGGAAAGTGACAGTTAAGGTAAAGTAAGAAAACTTAGATAATAGTTCACATTGTGAAATTAATAGAACAGAAAAGACAGATTTTAAGGTGTTATTTATGTAATGATCTTTTGATTTAAGAGCTAAAATAAAAATGATAAAGGTGTGTTCTAAAATTTGTGCAAATTAGTAATTTTCCAAAAGTTGGAGCAAAAGCATCAACTAAACAAAACAAATTTAAGACATTTTTCAAATTCAGGAATTATCTTGGACACTTGAGGAGGTAGTCGGTGCATTTCCACCAAAAGGCCAAGCTTGACAGTAAGTACCAGGGACTTCAGTTTACCCCCAAAAAGGTTCCTGCTACAGAAATAGTACTTATAGTAACACTAACTTGATACATTTTCATAGGTCTTTAGTTCTTGGAGGAAACATAGACAATAACAGGCTGGGTGAACCTTTAAATCCATTGAGAGCCCATCTATAAAAAGTCTTGTTTTTTTTGTTGGAAACGCAGCTTTAGATGTAAATGCACAAATCTCAGGTCTGTCAAACTGAGACATTTTTAGTTATGCACGTCTCTAATTTCTGACTTGATTAAAAACTTCACTGAACATTACTTTAACAGAAGACAGTGATTTGAATCCTAGCTTTAATGTGCTTTTCCTTTTAATGCTCTGGAGAAAAAAAAACTGAAAGAGTTTGATTGAAATGACATGAGGGCTATCATCCATACCAATTTATTCTCCATCAACTCATGGCATACGCAATCCTCCTTTGATGATTTCTTGATGTGGCGTCATCTTCATACTGTTACAACGACTATCATCTATTTAGGTAAACAGACAGCATCATTACCTTAATTTCCTTGGCTGGTGCAGCCTCCTCAATAGTTTTCTCGTACTGCTGCTTCAAAGCCTGAGTGGAAACCTTTGGTAGGTCCTCTCCTCCGACGAGCATAACTGAATTAGACACAAGAAGAAGTCTGCCTCATTAAGTCATTCGCAGTAAGGAAGCTCAGGGGGATTGGAAAGAGAAATAAATCATTTCATTAAAAAACCTGAGTAGTTTTCATTTTCTGAAACCATGCAGCAGTGATTGCCCAATTTCCACTTTCCAATATTTTACCTTCCTGACTCTGCCCTGATTAGATTTGCTGCTATGCACTGAATAGAAAATCATCTGCAAGCCTTTACATAGCTCATCCCTTATTCAGTAGTGGAGGGAACAATCATTAATATACAGGACACAAGCAGTGCTGTGATAAAAATGAGCAAATTACAATATAAAAGGCATGAGCAGAATAACCTGTTTCATTGTAATGGCTCCCGTAACTTGCCGCCACATTGTTCTGGTGGACTCTTTCATCTTGGATCACCTGTAAAAAGATGGTGGGAAATCATTAGAGAACTGGAACTGCATGAGCTCCCAACTGCTCTCAATCAGGGTGAAGTTAAAGGCTCACCAGAGAGTATATATGGGGCTGGAAAGTGAAACCAAAAAGTTCTGATATAACAAAAGAAATCAGCCAAATTGTGAGTTTAACAGCCTGTACCTCTTGTTGATTCTGAAAGATGGTTGTGGAGGGGACGACCTCTCTCACACTGCTTCTCACTGTTACCTCCGAGGAGCTTGACACCTCCTGTCAAACACAGACAAATGAGAATAGGGGCACACTGAATCCCCCCATCACGCAGGAATGCAGACAAACGGCTGCACAAACAAAGAGACAGACACAGACATGACACAGCTTTATCCCTGTGTGTTTGAGCTGTGAGAAACAGTGGGAGAGTAAGTCATTTTGATATCGGGAAACTTAATAAAGAGCCCTTGGTGGCTTGTAACAAATGTTTTTTTTATTACAACGGTGCTTCCGAGGGAACTACGGAGTTTAATTCCACTGAAGGAGGATCTCAGTGTTGGAGGGAAAGAGCAATAGATTACAAAAACTGTACAAAACTGCATCAGCCGTTTTCCTCCAGTGAGATTCATGCAATTTGAAAGAGATTAAAGAGAAATATAATATTTGAGCTTGTATCCTCTGCTGCTAACATAAAAGATACATGGAGGGAGGGGTTGCTCTGTACTCCAGAAACCACTTATGTCAGAATAATGACATCTTTCCTGATGTAAGACCAGTTTTAAAACAGAGCTCGGTTATTACACCTCTGAAGATAAACTTGGAGGGAGAGTGGTTTCTTGTTGCAGTACAGAAGTAATAACTGGATCTAACAGACATTTCCCCCCGCATCACACACCTCTATGTAAAATTTAACATTCAGCAAAGCCCCTCGATGAATCCACTCTGCTTCCCGCCTGAATAAGCAGATGGGGAGCATGCATGGAGGGGCTGAATTGACCTCTCTACACTGAGACTGGGCCTCGGTTCCCGGTTGCTTACGTGTTCTTGCAATTCCCTCACGCGCCGGATGACAATGAAGCACAGGGAAGCAGAGTTCAAGGCGCAATCTTTGATTTGACCTACAAGAACTCATCGGAGTCACAGGAATAGCAGCAGAGCTTTCCAATAACGATAAGTAAAGGACGACAGAATCCTTTAGTCTACGTTACTTAAAACATGAAGAAGAAAAAAATCCCCTTCTATGCAGCATGTTCACTTTCTCTTTCAATTCATTGTCCTTGCAGAAGTTGCATTTTCACGACTATATGATCACACAAACATTCAAGCCTTAGTACTTTCTATACGCTGGTGTTATGGAACTTTCTCTACTGTGTTAGCACATATATGGCTTAACTATTACCACATCTTGCCAAAATCTGGAGAACAAAATCTTCAGGAAAGGAGTTTGTCATATTAGAAAAAATTTAATATTAACTTGTCTGCTTTCTAGCCAAAAGTAAGATTAGACTCTCATCCTCTCTCTCTCTCTCTCTCTCTCTCTCTCTCTCTCTCTCTCTCTCTCTTTCGTGTTTGACATGTTGAAAATAAAGTAAAAATGTTGTGATTACAGTCAAACGTTTAGTTCTTAGTAAAAAGAAAACAGGAGCGGAAGACGTGAGCTATTGTACTCTGAGAATAAAGTCAAAATAAAGGTGAAAAATAAATCTTAAAAATAACCTTAAAAACAACCCTTTAAGTGTGCAATCTAAATATTGACACTTGTACTAAAATTTCAACTTTAATCCTCAAGATACAAAATGTTATTCTGATAACACTGAGAATAAAATGGAAATACCAGCCCTAGTTTAACTGTTTTATGACCTTCTGCTTCAGACAGGCTAGCTGTTTCTGAAAGCTAACAGCCTTTTTGCTAAGCTATGACGCTAAAAATGGACGTGTTGTCACCTGATAGGTTGCTAAAAGGTAACTTTACCAGGAGCCTACATCAGAACCTCTCAGAGATTATATAAGATGCAAACAAGCCTGGGTAGATGCAAACATTGGGTTTTTGAAATAAATGTATCAATTATTCTAACATTTTATGACAGATGGTAAGGGGGGGTAAGGGTCTAGTTAAGTTATTAGGGACTACTTTGTTACGATTCAGTTGTATGCATTACTACATGATGTTAATTAAAGCTCCTCTGAGAAACTGTTGGTTTGTGTCATCTTTGGTGCCCCCTTGTGGTAAAATTGGATCATCTGCGCACTTTGCTGATCTTTTTCTGGACATGCAAAAGTTGTTTTTTTTAGATAATAAATCTCGTCCTGCTTTCGTTCAACAATCAAAGGTGACACTCACTGTCAATGTAAGCTCTGGAAAATGTCAATAAAGGTTGTATCTACAATTCAACCATCCAGTGACAACTGTCACAGGCATACAATAATAAAAGAGAAATAATCAATACAAAATTAGTCATTTGTTTGCATTTGTAGGTGATGTAGAGGCGTCATCATTAAAAAAATAAAAAAATAAAAAAATAAAAAGCTTTAATTAAACAGGATCTTTAATTAGATTTAAACGAGTAGTAATCAGTTTGTGCTGTTTCCTGATTGGTTCAGAAGTTCTCAGGTGACACGTGATTAAAGTGGTCAGTGTTATCGATTCACAATCTCAGCAGGCTTTCAGAGTGATCACATTCTCACCTGGACAGATCGCTGCTCGAAATGAAACTGGGTGACGCTGGACTGAGAGGACGACGAGAACTCCTGGCTCTCAAACTGTTTCTTCACGCTGGCCAGACCACCAGGCAGCGAACACGCCTCCGACTCGTCCATCATCTATCAGCAAACAGAAGAAAAAAACACCCATAAAACACTCCTGTATAGATGACACACACAAAATGTAAACGTGAAGTCCATACAAGATTCATGGGACTGGATTTGACCCCGGTGAACCTGTCTCTGTTTTCATTGAATTTGAATACATTATAAATTCACTAATATAGAAGTCGATAAAAGGGCGTAATGCTTTCAGAAGCATCAGAAGTGTTGAGGTTCTTTGAAACAAAGTGTGAATGATGGAATTTGAAAACAATGAAAATGAAGATAAAATTGTTTCTGTACAATCCTAAAGGTTGACAATTGATTTCTGTTCAATAGTTGCAAGACTACGTCAAAGTCAAATGTGAAAAGGGAAGACAAAAAAATGAGATAGGGTTTCTTTTTAAAAGGAAATCAAAAGGAAATCAAAACTAAATCAACGTAACTGAGTCATTTTTGGAGTTTATGTCTGGCAGAAATTTCCCAAATAGCAAAGATGGCAGGCACCCAATTTAAATTGATTCACTTTTTCCACATCTATTCTGCAGCAGAGAGAGAGAGAGAGGGAGAGGGTGAGAGAGAGACATCAATAGACATTTGAGGCTTTCAGATGAGTCTGTTTAATGGAACAAAAAAGCTCTTTCAATACTTTTTTATATTGAGCTACGGAAGGAATTATGCTTTAAGACTGACAAAATACAAAGGCCTGGTTTCTTTGCAGAGGGGAGGAGAAGGAGGGAGGAGGGCTTTTTAAATCTTATTAGTATGGAGAATGCACTCTTCACCCAATGAATTGTGGGCAGGAAACACTCTGACTATTTGATAAAGTAAATTCCTTTTGGGATCGTCAATTACTTTCCTTATAAAACATTTATATGGACGCTTCTGCTTATAGAGATACTTGGAAACTGCAGTTTATATTTCCAAGCTGGCTGCCATGTGTGTGATAATGTGTGTGTGTGTGTGTGTGTGTGTGTGTGTGTGTGTGTGTGTGTGAGATGATGTGTGTGAGTGCATGTTGAACACAAACACCTGTAACCTTCTCCTTTTTAATGCAAATGAGTGGTACAATGCAATTTGCAAGATATTACAGAGGGAGTGAGGGCAGTGACATTTTATGGCATGACACTGTGTTATCAATATTTTACTACCTCAGGGTACAACAGCTCCATTGATACAACACGGAAACAACAACCTCTCGATTAGAATGTCACAGACTCCTAGTTCACCTGACAAGTTCATCACAGAAAACAAGGCTCTCCTCTTCATTTCAGTCTTGCTCGCTTGATTGTTTTAAAAGGAGTTGGAAATTACGATCAGTGCAGCTAAAATCGCTAAATACAACCATTTCTAAGATAAATCATCAGTTAGTATCTTTTAATAACATGTTTCAGATGATTGCACAAAGTACTCTTTGTCCAGCAGTTTGATAAAAGGTATAATAGGAGGATGCCCAGCAGGTGTCGCACTTTAGCACCAGTCTCTCAAACCAAAACAAAGCTGTCCCTTCTGCACGTCGCTTCCCCTCCTCCCTCACCCCTCCCTCCAGCCATTTCTAAAACCAACCTCGCTTTTTTATTTCACCGTGACAACAAGAAAGATCTTGAAAAAGCGACACTGTAATAAAAAATGTGCCACATGAAGCTCATGAAGCAAATCATTTGGAGCTCCGCCTACTATCTAGCTGCAGTGTCAGTCATAAGCTCCGACTCCTCCATATTAACAGATGGGGCATGGGTCAAACTATATTCAAAAAAAAAATTCTATTATAAAGGAAGTATTATAATCGACATTTTGTGAAAGTGCAGCAAATGACCGCACGCTTCCCTCCTTACTTTGACAGAGAATCTTATCTAGCCGGCCTTGTGTCCGACACCATTCTGCTGCTGTTGCATATTTGAAGTAGTCAGGGTTAGTGGATGACAAACTGGACTGAACAGTGTCCATCGTCCGCTCTGCTATCTTTAACACCTTGTCACTTGTGTGTGAACATGCAGACAGCAGCTGCAAAGGTATTGAGGAAAAACAAGATTCCTGTGATGATTCCCTCTGGCAACTAGGCTCCCCTGTCTTGTGCCCTCCTCTTACCCACCCCCACACACACACACACACACACACACACACACACACACACACACACACACACACACATGCATAGATGCACATTCAGCTGTCAGAAGCCCCCATACAAGGCTTCAGGCCACTGAGGACGAAGTGAAGTGTGAGAGGATCATTAAGTGAGTCCTCTTGAAGCTAACAGTTATGCTAATGCATTGCTATAATCACGCTTTTGGCTAAAGGTTGATGAAATTGTTGCACTTCTCGTTACTTTATGTATAATTGTGTGTTAAAGCTGTTTATAACAAATTGAGGAGCTGTGCCGTGCTGTAAGTGTGGGAAGAAAAGCACTCTGAATAATGTTAACATCACCTCTTATCTGAGCTCATCTGCCTGTAAAGCTCCGCATCAAGTGGGTTTGTAACCATGCAGACCTGCAGCCAGCTTACAGGTGACTCACTTTCTGATAATCACAGCTTCAGATGGGAGTAACACTTAATGCTGCACAGCCAGCTATGATTATTATTTTTGACCATTTAAATGTTATGTTTTGTTTTTTGACAAATATGTATCTCTGATTTAGAGTCAATGTTTCATTGTTTACACTCAGTAAGCATGCAAACATTGTCTCGTATTATGCCTCCAGAAGGCCGGCAGAGCATCCTCTGTAAAAAAGTGAGCCGAGGAACGACGTGATGAGGAGTGAAGTGAAAAAATTCAAACAGGTAGGCATGAATCAGGGCAGCGCCTGTTTGGTAGATTTCTCTGTTTTCACCGCAGCCAACAGACGGACGTCAAATTAACGGGACTCCTTTCGATTGATATGATTACAATTAGTCCTCCAGAGGCTGTGATTAGACCTGCATCCATAGCAACCATCTGCTGGTAACAGTGATCTATCAAGGGATAGCTGACCGTTGCTATGCGTGATTGGCCAATCAGAATCAACTAGAAACACATATTATTGCGATATTTACTATGCTTCACTGATAGACTATCATCCTACAACAGGGCAACAAAGATAGAAGCAACAAAGCCTTGCCCTGATGTCGTCAGATCTATCCTGCACATGATACTATAAGCCTCAGTTGACACATTCACACAGTCTTCCTGGATTTGTCACTGCAGCTGTGTTGACGTTAGTCTGGATAACTTCTGTATCTTTTTTATGTCATGGTTTGCTCTGAGTTTTCATTAATTCTGACGACCTGCCGACAGCAGACTTTTTCATGTTTAAGCGTTCATACGTTGAGAACAGCGCCTCTTTATATAAACCCGCTCAACAAAAAAAGAATCTGGGTTGACTTACAAGGCTGATAACCATCTGATATTGCCCACTTAGCGTGATGATCTCCTTTGGTCTCTGGTATTTAATCATTTCATATCAGCTATTCCCCGACACCTCGAGCAGCTCCTCATGATGGTTTGTAAAGCCTGGACTTCTTTCATAAGATTTAATATTAAGAGACGTGCCTCTCTCACTGTAAAACAGATACACAAGCTTAGAAGAGATTTCCACTAAATAATGATCTGTATTTATAGACCCCAGTCAACGAGAAAAGGCTCGTTTTCCAGTATTTGGAGGTGTTTTTTTTAAGTACCAAGCTGACTCTCTCTAGCGGCCTTGGATGACTTGCTGCGCACACAGCTGAATTATCGGGTTTATAGAGTACAAGCAGGCTCTTCAAAGCCGCTGAAGCTTTTTGGTCCTTGGTAATGACTAATGACTTGAGGATATTCAGATTTTTTTTTTTTTGCGTTTAATCAAAGGAGTTATAATGTGTGAAGACCCGCTAGTGTGCTGCATGTGTGGGCTCATCTGCAAAAAATAGATGTTTTTATTTTTTTTCTGCAGAGGCTGTTTTTCATTGACATGGTTATTGGTTGTTTTTTTTATGCCGCACTTTGTAACAAAAAGTGTGTGTGCAAGTGTATGTGTGTGCAGCTACCCCTGCCTTTGGTTCCCAGTGGATTTATAGATGTCTGTTTGGACTGCACAAAGTCAACAATTATACGCTATCGCTCTGACTTTGACCCAAACAAAAATCAGGTGTACTCAGCTTTTTCAAACTCTGTTTATGTAGGTCATCTGATTCAATCACACTGGGGGGAAAACAATTTGAATTAAGAGTATACTGTGTCACTTTATAGTGCCATATTTAACTTATCATAATGAATACCTACACAGAATGCATTAATTAATGCACTTAATGTATGTAGTAGCTTGCAAAGCTTTAGAACTGAGTGTGTTTTGCCAACTTTATGTTCAGAAATAGAACAGCAGCCCAATATGACACGACAGCATCACGATTCCTTTAGACGTCTATTAACTCTCCAGAGGTTTCTGTCTAGTACTGAGCTGGAGGACACTTTGACAAATAATGCTGCCAGCCGAGCAGAGCCCTGTGGCACCCAATTCCTGAGGTCCCTGTCCAACAAAGCAGCCTACAAGCAGGACAGTGTTCAGAGTCAGCAGATTTACATCTTAGAGAAATTTGATCATAAAATCTCAAATCATTATACTATTAGTTAGCTGTTATTGTAAAAGGTTTCTAAGAGCGTCTGCTGTCTCTCCAACGACCCACATATGCTGCCTGCTGTCTCTCCTTACATCCATGTGGAAGTATCGTCTTACCGCAGCAGCCGAGGAGCCGCTGGTTTCCTTCTTAGACACGGCCGCCTGGTACATCGCCAGCCGATCTTTCACTGACACCGGCTCGGTCTCCGGGTCCTCAGGACGTCCTGACCTGGATCTGCCTGCACCGCCCGCAGCTGCACACAAACACAAACACAAATTAATTAACCTTAATGGCGCAAAAAAAATGCCCTTTGATGATGCACGCAGACCAGATGAACTTAACTTTATGAAATAGTTAGAAGGAGATTGTCCTTTGGTATCTGGACAGATTTTGTGAAGTTCTGGAAAAGTCTGCGGCCCCAGAATGACTGAATGAAATAGAAACGCACTGTAGTTGCCAATAAAAATGAGGAATAAAACATTTCCAGCTGGCCTTTGAATTCTGAAATACGAAAGCTTCTCTCTCCTCATATTTTACAGATTAAATCTCCACCTTCACATTGATAAATATATCCACATAGTTCCTGATACAGTCAATATTTTTATCCAGAAGTGGCCCGAGGCAAACAATCCGTAAAACAAATGTTGACAGGAAACTGAAGCGAGATACTCATCAATCACGAGGCACTACTTCATGATACCTTATATCGCCTGGCACATCCCTGCGGATAGCCAATTAAGAGTCGACCACTGATTTTACGTTTGACTTGTCTGTGCTACAAAGCATCATTAGGCAACAGAAAGGCTCCATTAGAGCTCGGCTCACTCCCACACTGGACCTTTTAGCTCTTGGCATGTTCTCTCTCTCTCTCTCCAGGCAACAACACCGTGGGATGAAAGAAGACCCTAAATAGAAATTATTCGCTCTCATTATGTGCTCACGCTGTAACCTCCTGACTTTTCTTTTGAAAATTCCTCCCCCTTGTTGTGTTTTTCACTCCGGGAGCTTCCATATTTTTTGCACATGTATGTTTACTCGTGAAACTTTGAGTTCAAAGTAGAGGTCACGATGAGTTTATTTTATGTTTATTTGAGAAGTTGACAGCAGCTGCTTCTTAAATGCATACAGATCCAGTGAAGGTCCCCTTGCTTCTATAGTAGTATGGAGATCAGTTGCAGATTTGGTGCTTAGTGATATAGCACATACCGTTCATGCTTATATGCAAAGCAGGCTGTGATAAATCTTCTCTCAGCCTACTTAAAGTAACTATATGAGCTATAATGCAGCTTTAAAGGCAACCTTTGAGGCGACACACACTGGCCAATCACAGCACAGGAGGGCAGGATTAGTAAGAAACCTACCAAATATCTTTTGTACTGAACTTGTAAAATGTGTTTATGCATCTTACTGGTGTGAGTGAGCCTTAAAACAGACGCCATGTGACAAGAGCATGCCCTGCTCATCCCACCAAATTTAGCTCTCCGCTATCTGGCATGTTAGTGTAACCAATAACCCGGCATGGAGAAATGGTCTGCTTGAGCTTCTGAAAATAAACAGGGGTTTTTAACATCCTATAAATATGGGTCAGAAATCCTACACCTGAGGCTGCGGTGTAACCTTATACCCACCCAATGACAGAAACACAAGGATAATGCCCTCATTTATCACCCGAGAAAAATGTTGAAGTCATAGTCTGGAGCTGTCAGGGAGGCAGAGACACGAGGGTTATGATGCCCAAGAGCGGTGACAACAGCGCTTTGGATATCTCTGGCTTCTAAGAACGGTATGTCGTATGCAAAGCTGCCATAACATGGGGCTGAGGTAACCGCGGCTCCGACGACGACGACGGGGGGGGGGGGAGAAAAAAAAATCAACCCAGCCTTTTTTTAAACCGCCTCTGTCTGCAGCGTCATGTTCCCCTAGTGACAGGGAGATTTATAGAGTGGAAGTGTGTGTTAGAGGGGGGAAAAAAGACAGAGAAAAAGAGTTGAGGCAAAATTGAAGGACTTCTGATGAGAATACATTTTCAAAGGTTCTAAAAGTTGTTTCACAAGTGTCACCAACGGGCTCTTAATTAGCATAAATAAAAGCATTCAAACACTGTCTCGGTGCCCAAAGGAATGCCCAAACGCAATGAGGGCCAAGCCTCTGTGTCGATCAAAACTTTCTCACAGGCTTACATTTATAACCTGTATTTTCTGCTTTTGATGGAAAGAATATTGAATTGCTTAGAGTCTTATTTACCCTCGCACTGACTATATTTTTCTTCCTCTGAGAGTATTAGCTTCTTATCTCTTCAATAACAGAGTGGCTCAGAAGTGATGGCACCAGGCGGGGGGTAATGGAAGTCTGAGAGGCTGGAAGAAAGTGGACAGGGAAGGCCCACGCTGCTGCTATATCGAGCAGAGCTGAGGGGCATTGACCTCCCTGTCACTGGCTCCTTGCCGCTGCCTGTGCTAAAGCCAGGAGAGGTGAGGAACTGTGCCGCAGGCTAGAAGTGAGGAGGGGAAGGGTGACATGGGGTGTTAGGGCTAAGAGATGACAGAGGAGAATTTGTTCTTGAAAGAGAGAGAAAGGGAACAGAGTCATTTCAGAAGTTGAAGGGCGCGGGAGAAAGCAGCGTTGCGCTGTAGCTCAAAGCTAAATCCAGGCCCCATAGATCTGTGTCAAGCAGAGGCCGTCCGCTAATCACAGAGGTGTCACCCCCCTCTCTTCCCTCCCCTCACAACAGAAGCCTTAAGCAACCCAATTTTCTGTTCATTACTTACTGACCAAAGCTTTTCGCCTGGCGAGGGTTTGACAGGAGAGCCAAATCGAGCTACACTAATTGAAATGTCAGCCGTGGAGGGAGATTTCTTCCTTTACCGACCAAAGCAAAACAGGCACAATAATTGAGCTGTCAAATCTATCAACATAACTTCTTTACATGGAGACGGGAGTGCCCTCAGGCGCTTCCTTATGCTAGGCTAAGCACTTTGTCTCCAATTTGCTATGCTTTCAGAATATTCCGGATCAGATCCCTGCTGGTTGTTGTCTGGTGGAAGGAAGCAGGACGGGCCCCATGCATCTTTTATGACGATGCACAAATCCGGGTGGAATCGCAGAAATAAATTCCAATATCTTTTTTTTTTCAAGCACCTGATGTTTCACAGGACAGCTTCCCTTTATCTTAATTCCAATTTTATAAAGATAAAGATAAACTTTCTGATCCCCCGTGGGGGAAATTTGTGAATATACAGAAGGTGCCTCAGCCTGGGCACATCAAACCGATTCATTATTGGCTAAAATCGCTTCCACTATTTCCAATCTATCTCCTTCTACTTGTGCTTCAGTGGAAAATTCCTTTAGCAGAGCTGAGGCTTATTCTTATACAAGAGTCAGCCTTGAAATGCTGATTGTCTTCATACATCTCTTACCTTCTAAAACTGTGTAGGTTGCGTTGAACGTCAAACAACAGTAGAATCCAACAGAATAAAAAAGGGCCTTGGATCTCCAGGAAAATGAATAGCGCTTAGTCACTCAGCTTTAACCCTACACTTAAAGCAAAATCCTGGGCAGCGGCGGGCAGTGAGGCTTGGAGACCAGCTCCAGCAGTGTGCTCTCTCAGATCAGTGAGGCCCAGGCATCCAGTGACAGCTGATTTTATTTTAGAAGCACCCCTTCGTAAAAAAAATAGGAGTGACCAGGGGGGAGAGTACATGGGGTGAGTAAGTGGATGTGGGTTGGCTTTTTTCAGTATCAAATATCGAGGTACCCAACATGCCCTTAGACTTATGTCACAGCAGGCTTATGGAAGCACACGTCCCACACTGGGAGACAGGAAACAGATACTTAGTTCATCCTTCATTTAACCAGTAGAGAGCATCTGGCATTTGGAATCAATGCGCGTTAGCATGGTAAATATCATGGCATTTCATGATTCAGCACACACACAGGAGACTGGTTTCATCTAAAATGCCTTACAGACAACATATACATACACAACAGGAGGAAAAGAGCTCGTAACATTACACCCCATGCTACGTCAAAACAAAAGAAATTCTACTCACGGATTCTCTTAAAACTGTTCTATATTTTTGGAATATGCTTATTTGCTTTCCTGGCTAGAATTGGTGAGTTGATTGTTGTCACTGTCATGTCTATTATGCTAAATATAGAAATAAAGACATTCTAGCTTAGTATCAATCCCAGAAGCAAAACTAGCATTGTCCAGTGTTCCAGTAAAGGCAGTAAAACCTCCTACAGTATTCACTAAGAAATAGTTCCAGTACGTATCTACAATCTTTTTTTAAACTCTGACTAGACTGACTGTTTAAGCTAAGCAAATCATCTGCGATAAAAATCCACAACAGGAATCCCCAAGTGCTATTCCCAAAGAAAGAACTTACTTGAAGTGACTAAGGATATATGTTTCTCCTATAGTTCAAGTCTTTATGCTAAGCTAAGCTAATTAGCTGCTAAAACAGACAAGAAGAGTCAACTCCAATTCCCAAAGAAACAGTTCCTGTAAATAACTCATGCTATAACCAAATCTTTTTGAACTTTGAAGTGGCCAAGGATGGCAGTCTCCCCTCTGCTTTAAGTCCTTATGCTAAGCTAGGCTAATCAACTGCTGTTCCTAGCTCTGTGTTTTGCATACAGACATATGACATAGGTATCGATCTTATAATCCAACACGAAGCACAAAAACTAATAGGAATATATCCAGAAATGTCAAACCACTAGCTGGCTATATAGATGGCTGGGGATGAAATTGACTTGCCCAGGTCATACTTACACAGCTTTCTCATGCATGCTTCTTATGCGTTTACTATTGATTCATGTGGTGAGCATTACATGTTCCAACTGCCTGAAGATCAATACTTCCTCTCAGGCAGTATTTTAACAGGAAACACAACTTCAATTTACTAAAAATGTCTTCTCCTACAAGTCTGAATTAGAGGAGTTGAGTGTACCTTTCTGGGTAAAACCTTTGCTCACTTTGGAAACCAATCTCGGAACTTAATTCCTTCCTTATAGAAGCCTTTGAACCTTTAGGACAGCTCTTCAGACAGACACTGTGGCACTTCAACCAGTCTTAAGTGGGAAAAATGCAGTGCCAAGCTTGCTGTGTGGAGGCCCAAGAGTACTGAGCTGGAAACCTGGAGACACAATCAAGAAGATCACCATTGGAAGATAGGAAACCACACTGTTATCATTTCTTTCTTTTTACTTCCTTTTTGACCTACTTTCTTCTTGTCCTTCTTTTTTTCATATATTTTTTCAACATACATCCTTCACGACAATGAAGAGAGAGAATCAGGCTTCTATAACCCTGCAGGAAATCATTGATTCCCACTTTCTCCATATTTCTAGCTGTGATCATGATTGTTTACCAACCCCACACATAAAACACAAGGTGTTCTCAGGGAGCCCACCCTGTGAGGCACCGTTGGCAGCACATCGACTAGAGGAGAGCGAGGCTATCAGGCTTGTGGAGGAGCTGCACTCAGCTGATAATCCTGCTGAAATTGCACATGGATTTCCTGTTCCTAAAGTAGAAAATAAACATACTTTGGTAGAATACCTAATGAAGGGCCTGAGAATATCCCTGTACTGAAGTCCAGAGTAAGCCCACATTCAAAAACTGAAATTAACTTTCAGAGAGTGAAGTGCTAAATGTGATGAATGTTTATTATTGAATTTCTCAAAAAAAAGATTAAAAATAAAATTTTACCCAAAAATGAGTCTAGTACTGTGTATTGGATAGTGATTGTTAAATCGATGCTTATGCCTAAAATGAGTACTTTATCCTGTTTTGTCAGTAAGAACATAATATCTGGACATTCCCAAACAAAAAACAAATTCACTTTCAGTGTGTCAGTGTAAAATGTTGATGCTACAACTGAGTCGATAAGGTTTTAAGATCGTGTCATTGCACTATTCTAAATAATGAAAGCCAAATTTCAGATGTTAATCTGTGTTTTGATGTAATTAACAGGTTAACTGCCTTTTTCTTAAAGTAAAATGACTTAATATATGTTTTCCTATATAAGATATGTTGTTTCTTCTGAATCATATTTGAAAATCGAGGTTATTAAGAATGAAAAAACGGCACATACGTATGTAACTATATACTGAACATCAAGAAGCAAACCTCTGTGTTGAAAAATGAAGCCAATGCATAGGTGAAAAAAAACTGCAGGATATCAGAGTAGGATGTAAAGAAATGATTTTGATTCGCCCTGAGGGACCACACAGCAGCCTCATATCAATACACAATATTGCAAAACATCAATTTTCAATTTTTCCACATCAATCACACCGTTAGTGCTTATTTCTGTCCCTTAACTGCTACTTAGGGAGTTAGTGGCAGTTCTGTAACTGACAGGAAGAAAATCTTTGTTTTTCCTAAAGATTATATTATAAAGACATCACCATTTGGCATGCAAACCTGAGAGGAGATTAATTAAAACAAAAGCAGTCTTTTGGCAAATCCAGTTCCAACTGGCAGCATTTGCACACTCTGAGAAATTCTCATGGGCCAAGTGTGTCTGACAAGTATAATCAGCCCCAGACAGATATAAATATATAGACACAACTTTCAGTAATACAACAACACACCTATTGTTTGTGCCACAAAGCCAGATACGGTTGTATGGTGGCGACTCGGGTGTAATGCGAGAGGAAAGAAGTAAACAAGGATGCCTGTTTTGAAAGAGCAGCAGCATGGAGATTTAGAGGTGAGCTTTGCATCTGTTTAAAGCGCAGTCACTCCGTCACCGTGCTTTATTTAAACATCGTGGCTTTGCACAGAACAGCTCCTGTAGACCCCTCTGTCAGTCATTTGACCTGGCAGACAATGCAACGCTTGCGTGACGACTTGTCAGCAAAGACAAAAGCTGTCGCTCAGTCAAGACAAGAGGAACGCAGGATTGTCAAGAAGCTCCAATTTTAGAGCCGGCATGGAGATTTAGAGACGTGCAGGGCGACACCAAAGCCTGACTGATCTCAGGTAGATGTGGGGAGACTCTCAGTCAGTGTGTGAGAGTATGTTGACTCTGAGCATGCATGGAGTTCATGAGTGTGTGTGTGTGTGTGTGTGTGTGTGTGCGTGTTTAACACCTTGATACCACCTTCAAGTCTGTCAACAGTTTATCACTTTAGACCATCACTCTTCCCACTCACCGCCTCTCTCTTGCTCTTTTTTTCTCATTTCTACAAGCATTGCTATGACGTGCAAAGATAGGTATGCTGCAAAAGCAATGGGATTTGTCATAAAAGAGTGATCCAAAATTAAAGTGAAAGCAGCTGATTATATTGTTTTTAAATATAAATGGATTGCGCATTTATTTTCTCAACTATTTTTTTTACCGATTGGCGTGCAATTTTGGAGAAGCGTTTGTCGATTCCATTGGGTGGAGCTTATTGATATGTGATCCCCTTGATTTACCTTTACTAACACCATGAGGTTTGTTCATTGTGAACATATATGCTAACCTTAGAAAAAAAAATACTGACCCGTAGAGCTGTTGGTTTGGCTGTAGACATTCTTGTTTCCATTTGGACATATCAAGCATTTGGCAAACTTAACTTAAAGTCAGAGATTTCCACACACCTGACATGATCCATGATCATTGATGCCTCAGCGGCCAATGTGTTTGAACTTGCTTGCTCTAGTTTAGTGTTGGTCCCTGCAGAGTAAAAAAAACAGGACTGTACCTTGCACTGTAAGCTCCATCTGTGTGTACACCGCTATCAACATCAGTGGAGAACAAACTGGGGGTAGCCAGCACAGCGTTGCTATCACAGTAATGGAAGCACGGTATCTAGCGAGCCTGCAGCTCCCCATTAAAAAAGCTGCCAGGGAGGCAGCCTTATCTGGCAATGAACTATCTAGTTTTCAAAACCTGCTTTCTGCCAAATGTTTATCTTTTAGAACAAATGGAACACCATGTTGCATTAGCCAACCCGCAGACTCGCTTGTTTGTTTGACAGACTAGTGTAACAGTGACGCAATCAAAGCGATAGCCCTCCTGTCATGTTATAAAGGATCTGAAGTTGCACCACAGCCTTCATGAAAGCAACTTTGAAGTATGTTAAAAATCAAGCTTCCCATGGATAAATGAGAAAGTACTCACAAAGAGAAGAGTCTGCAGGTGAGGCCATGGTCGGATCTGTTGACGGGTGAGTGTGTGTGAGACTACTGGACGTCACTCTTTTAGACGGGGAGGTGTGGACGCTTGTTACTTCCTGGTTGGAAAAAAAAAAAGGGAAGAGAGGGTTATCAGAGAAAACACCTGTGGTTTTCTAACAGGAAGATACAGAGGTGAGGCTACCAGTCATGAAAGCCAGCTGCCTGCGCCCAAATCGCATGTACACCCTTACATGGACACACATGCTCACACACCGTCACACACTGACACACAGAGAGGATTCACTTGCTGCCACACATACCTCAAGCGTGAAAAAAGATACAGTCAAGCGTCTGGTGACATTCAAACTCTGGATTCCAGTGAAACTTTGTTGCTGTCGTCTGGTCTGCACACACAACACATGTCCACACACACACACACACACACACGCACGTAAACACACACATCTGTGAGTGTAAAGAGAGGACGACCTTGAACACAATGTTAACAGTAGGCATTGACTGGAAAGTAAGTGCAAACAGCACTTGGTTGAATTTTAATAGAGCCACTCTAGCAGCAACTAAAGATGTTTTCACAGGTTGCTTTTGATAAAAGGAACAACATTAGTAAATGGCATGTCCTTGGTGCATACAGGCTTGTTTTTCCCCTTGAAGCATTTTGTCAAAACTTAGAAGTCAGCCAGTGCAACACGCCTATTCAGTTGCAAATCATCCCCGCGGGAGGAACAAACACACCTGTGTGTGTGTGTGTGTGTGTGTGTGTGTGTGTGTGTCTTTGCAAATGTGCGGGTGTGTTTTTTTCCATTTGCAAATCAAATGTATTCCCAATAGCGTCTTTTTCGACAGCGGCTTGCCGGGCGTCAACACAGAGTGACAACAAACACGCAACAACTCTGCACATAGGCACTTACCATGTGGCACACACACACACACAAGCACAACGTGTATCTGTCTGTCCTGGCTTCCTTCTCCCTGCTTAAGGTGTCAACCATAATTTCAGAAATGCACCAAAGGAAAAAGAAGTTGTCCTCAAAAATCCCATTTAGCAAATCCCCGAAAGACATGCTCTGTAATTTGCATTCTTTCCTACAGTATCTCAGACTCACACACACACACACACACACACACACACACAAACACACACACAAACTATGGCAAAACAAGGATGCAAAAGTAATCTCTCTCTTTCCATCACTGTCATTCTACCTCTCTCTCATGCTGAAGCAGCACTCACATCGAATGAAGCTCAAATCAGTGAGCTGCAAAGAGCAGAAGCACGGCCCAAACCGGCTGCTAACCACAGCTCCCAAGTGCTCCTTGTTTCACTGCTTATATTAGACAGTATTTTGTCTACAACGGGGTGTTGCTTCTCAGGGGATGATTAAGTGCACAAGCGGTTAGGATGTTTCAGTGTGTGAAAAATGTGTGTGTGTGTGTGTGTGTGTGACTTTGCAGTGGTTAATTTCAGCTGGTAAGAGAAAGTCACTGAATGAGAGCCATTAAAGGGATTCAAACATTTATCTCTATTTGGTTGTCTGATGGGCTTGTTTACACTTCACTTAAAGCAAATGACTGTGGTAAATTATGCATCTGGTACGTGTGGTGTGTGGGTGTGGGTGTGAAACCCATTTTGAAAGATTTTCTCTGTACATTAATAGATATTTTGGATTGCAGCAGCAGATGGAATAACTTTGAACCTCATAGAAGAATTGGCTGCATTCATACACACTACAACTAGGCTGAGTTTTCACCAGTAAAGTCGTAAGTAGTTTACTGGCCAGAAAGAAAAAATGTGAATTGGTGGAGCAGCATTTTCTATAACAACTGATTTATTTTTTAGGCTATAAATCTGCAGGGAATATTTATAAAAACCAGCAGAATCTCTCGTAGCCCAACCTCACCCAGGTGTTCTGCTCAATTAAAACACTTTTCTCTGATTAGGTTCTCAGTATCCTTGCTTGATGGCATCTAATTGATGCAACAGATTGGATACTGGTATTGGTGCAAGGCACATTTTCCGATGGGCTGATATCGGTTAATATCAGCCAATACTGATGTTTAACAAATACATAGCATACATGTATACATTGCATAAAAAGTGGGAAATGCAGTTCTCCATTTTATGAACTACAGTAACAGGATGAACAGCAGCAGGGCCAAAGCGCAATGTTTCATGGAAGCATCACCAAGTGCTATCTAGTTTTGAGTCCCCACCATATGGTCTCTTTGGCGCAGGCTGCCACAGGGGAAGGAGGGGGGGGGGGGGGGGTAGTGGTGGTGGATGTCTCTGTATATCTCCAACAGACTGACAGAGTTAATAAGGGACAGTGCTTCGTGAAATCTGTCTAAACGCTGCTGGCCTCTCGTTTGAGATAATCCCTGTGAAAAAGAAAATCACTGGATCCTCAGCTAATGAAATCAATGCTCGCCATCTGGGACTGTTTCGCATGTGACAGACACAGAAGTGGCCAGTTGAAGCTGTGACGGTGAAACCATGGTAACAGGAAACAGTCATACACTCATGCTAGCCTGGGGATGTGACACCGTGACACCCCGCACCTCCCTTTTGGTGCCTATTAGAGGGAGACATCACTAAAGCCTAGACATATCCATGAAACTGTTAGCTCCTGTCGTATGTGTAGGGATTTCACCATTTTACGCTGATTGTCTCATGTCAGCTGTTGACATTTTCGTCCTCTAACAAGCAATTCTTCTGCGACTGCAAAAGGACTCTAATGACGTGCCATGGCGCCATGGAGGGTCTCTGAAGAGATCTGTCCGCCTCCCTCTTCTCAAATGTTCTCCATCTGTCCTCCCACTCTCCCCTCCTGGGTCATCCTCTTTCAAAAAATGTCAGTCTTAATAAGTCAATTAAACAAGAATTTAATCCTAAGAATGTTTTTCAGACTTCAAAAAAGAGAATGTACTGGCTGGGTGAGATGTCAGTTTTTAAGGAGGTAAAAATTTCCGATATGGGGTGACATTATCTTAACCTGACTCAATTTGTTCTACCTGTGCCTATTGGAGAATTTTCAAGGAAGGAAAATGTGAGTCCTGTACCTTTGCTGAATCGTTATGGATCAACAAGGGATCATTTGGAGTTTGGTGAATCAAGGATCAGTGGGCTGTCAGGTATCAGTCCCCTTCAAACAAAGTGCTTGTTGGATTCTGAAGAAGCCCTCCCAGAAAACCATCTACACATCTGAGGCTGTAAGCATCAATGTATGTTACTTACACAGGGATTGGTCAGATGTGTTGAGATAAGAAAGCATTGAACATTTCTCACAAGTTCCCTTTTATATGATTCGCACAACAACTTCTGCAATGTTTGTACGTACAAATGAGTGCAACGCTGAGAATTCTTGGAAGGAATTGTCTGAAAGATTGCAAAGATTTGAAGAATAGTCCTTCTCGACCCACTTTATGACTGAGCTTAGTGTGACTATTTGGAAACAGAATGAAGACATTTGCCTTTGGATACGGTTTGAGGACAGATCTTACGATGAGAATGTTTCAAGCGAATCTTAAAGGGGGTAGTGATGTGAAGATTGAAACCAACCCTCACATCTTAATAGCTAGCAGCCAGTAAGCTTATCTTATCGTAGCAAAGACTGGAAACGGCTCGTCTTGCTCTGTTCTTAAAGTAACTAAATGCGCCTACAGCAGCGATTAGGCTCGAGTTTCTTTAATCTCTTACAAAGGAAGTCTCGTCCTCACTGTGAGGTGACCAGCCATGACAGTCAGCCTCAGTCAAAGACTGTAAAATCTGCAATTGTTTTCCAAAATGTCAGATGTTCCCTTAATTCTTCATGCTGGATGAAGTTCAACACAGCTGCACTCTTGCAATGAAAGCAATCACAAGCAACATTAAATGCTTCTAAATTGCTGCTACAGCATTCATAAAGAAAAACAAGAATGATTGGACTCAACTTGTGCACGGTCTATGTAGTTTCACACTTTTCCACGAGTGAGCCAAATCAGAATTCTGTATAGTTAGCTGCTATTCATTAAAGGTCATTTTAAGAGCAAATGATCCTTCTTGAATGTGGTGAAATTAGATCATGATCGGTATGAAGACAAGAGCTGTAATTCTTTGTACCAGGCTGCTTTGGACTCAAATAGCTCGGATATTGCTCTGAGTGATTTTGCTGGAGCTGGTGAAGCTGCAGAAGCAGTTCAAATCGATGAGGTCCGCTGGCTCTATATCAGACTTGACATTTTGGTGGAGAGAGGGCGCCCACCTCGACGGGATCTTCTCCTTAAGCACTTTTAGAAGATCTTATTTTCGGATTGCTCTCTGTTCCTTAAACTTTCATGTTTGAATACCCACATCTCCTCCGTTTTCTCTCAGCTTTTCTTTCTTCATTTTTCTTGTGATGAGACGGCTCCTTGGCTGGCTTTAAGTTACTGATTGTCTTGCAGGGGATTGCAGGCCGGGTTGTGCCATCAGGGAGGCGGGGATCTTCTGACCTATGCTCAGGAGATACTTAAAACTTCAAATCAATTGGGCACAGGGAGACTGCCTTCATTTATTTTAAATTAAATCTTCGTCTTTGCTCGTCTATTTTTAAAACACCTTAATTATTTCATTCTGCTCAGTCTTCAGTGATAAGCATTCCAAACATACTCTTGGCATTTTGCAGACAGAACTGATTATTTAAAGCTGTGCCTCTGCAGCAGCACTATAGTTCTGGCTGGTGCTTAGCCAAGAAAAAAAAGTCGCTCACACGTAACTCACTGTTTGGGTACTTCATTTTAAATGACAGTGTTCCTTTTGTTGGCAAATGGCGCGTACATTAGTGACTCTGCGCATGTGGACACAAACTCTGTCTTGACAACACACACTCCAGCCGAATGCACGCTCCCCCTGACAGCTCTTGGACTGAGTGCTGCTGGCTGTGAAAGCAGCCTTATTGGTTTGCTGGCATAACGCACAAGTGGCTGCTCTCGAAGAATGACTCATGAGAGTGTGCAACAGCAAACAAATTACTGGGCTGACCAAAGGCAACCAGTTGCTTAGAATTTCCCTAAATATGTCTGACCTTGGCAAGACTTCAAGGCAGGGAGCCAAAGGTCTTAGGGGGCATTTCAAACTCTG